CTTTCCCTTTCTCCTGGTCCCTAAGCATAGCATGAATTCTGTACATAGCCCAGGTCTACCAAAGCAGGCAACCCTCTCAGATGGCGTTGTGTCCCATAAATAGTGGTCCGCTAGCATGTTTCTTGTATGCTTCCCGAGTCCAGGGCTGGTCATCTTATGGGAATGTCCAAAGGAATTATTAGCAAGGCTATTTGGGAAAAATAAAAGTACAAAACAGAGAGAGTAACCAACTCTCCATCCAGTCCTCAAGGGGAAAAATGGTGGCAACAGAGATAACTACCCTGCCTCTTCAGAGCTGTGCTCCTGCACCCTCATGTTCTGCTGGCACAACTACCTTTAGGTCACAGCAGAAGCTGCTACACAGGCTAAGCTGAACCCTTTTTGGTTGCTTTGTTGGGCAAAAAGATGATTTTCTCTGCAAATACTGGAGGGGAAAAAGAGATAATAGTGGCTCTGTACTACCCTTAAGTGCTACTACAACCTCCATCAGTTTGTTCCAAACAACATGGGTTTAAGACTGCACTTTTCCTTCTTTTGGAACGTGGTAAGCTAGGGCAGGGCAGAGAGCATGTAAACAGTTCTTGAGGGTTGGAAAAATAAGAATAATAATTTAATGGACTGCTTGGGCACATCTTCACAGCTTCATTGTGACATCCATCCCCTCACATGGACACTTTGCTGCTGCTCTTTCTCTCCAGGCAGCCTGCTCACACTGAGCAGGTACGTTCCCTTTCTCCTTGGCTGCTGAAACAGAGACACTGGAAGCGGTTCTGCCCTATTCTGGCTATTTACACGATGGCCTCCTCTTTAACAGCTCCTAGTAAAAATATACATACATCATCTGCCAGTTAGCCTCCCGTTAGGCAAGCTTTTTCCCATACAATTGAAATAACAAGTTGTTTACTGGAGACACTTCCAAAAAGGAAAAATAAGGGTCAGCAGACATGCCAAAAATCAAGTCCAGAGCAAGCAGAAGTTTTACTTCTCCTCTTGTCCTTTTTGTTAAAAGCTGCATAAAGTAACAACCCAGAAGGATTTTGAGGGTACTTCTTCATGGTCACCAGGGACTTGCACCTTCTTAAAGCATAACAAGTGCTCCAAGATTTTAGTTGAAGTGAGCATATACTTTAAAACATATTGAACCCCAGCATCCCCACAGATGTGGGCTTTGGGGCAGGTGACAAGTACAAGCAAGCGACACCAACAAGGCTTCTTCATTCATGTTCTGCTGAGAAAGTTCTGGGTTTAGTGATGTGCACCTCGCTGCCACCGTTCCCGTTGGTGGTTGTAGTGATGATGTACTGGGTGGGGGGCTGCTGAGTGCTTGTTTGGGATTCCAAGGTATCCGTGTGGGCTGGGGGCTGGGAAACACCGACCTGGACCTCACTGGAGAGCGAAGAGTTTTGTTTGGCTTCCAGATCAGGCTGACCTTCAGATATCACATAGTGAGTCTGCAAGGGAAATATGGAAAATCATCATCATTGCACCTTCTCCAACTCCTCTGTTCTGATCATCTGCAGCTTTCCTGTTGCTGTGCTGGAGACATTTTGGTATGAAGTTGGAAATTAAGTTTTATTTCGTTTAAACGTACCCAAGAACAACAATATGATGTCATTTTAGATAAAAATAAGTTTTTCCTTGAAGCTCTATAAATTCTTCCCTTTCAGAACCTGAAGTTTATGACATTACTACGTTTGATCAGTACCAGTCCTCTCCTTAGCTAATGACACAACACATCATATGATGTCTTAGTTGTTTTGCCTATAGATCTTGCCCAACACAGAACTTGCTACCGCTGTAACAAAGAGTCAATGTCCTTTTGGTCTACAGTCTAGCCTTATTCAGGTACACCATTATTCTCTACTCTCTGTATTTATTTTGGCATCCTTTTACCCTTCAAATTGTAGGCTTAAAGCCTGATACATGATTCTGGATTAAAAAAAACAAAAAGAAAAAGGCCATGATGGTGGTTCTTACCTGAGTAACTGCTTTCACTTGCCCTGTGTTGACAGTGGTGACTGGTGTTCCTACAGCAGTCTCTGTGATCACATACTGGCCTTGGGGAATGGTCATCATCTGGATCTCGGATGCTGAAAATGGAAATTGGAGAATCAAGACCTTCAGTCAAGCTCAAAGACCACCTTGAAAGATTATGTCTTATGTCAGTAACACATCAATCCTGAAACAGTGGCTGCTAAATAGCAAATCAGGTACTGTAAAGCCTCGTAGAATTCTACAGACCTCGAGAGATTTGTGCCATCTAACATGAGCTGCAGATTTGGCAATTCATTCATAGCCAAGACATCCTTTTCTCACCTAAATCATTGAATTGCCACCCAGAGCTGCATGGACATAAGGGATAGTTTCACGATACCCTCGATTGGGTTCAAATTTGAACTAGTCACTACCCAACACATGTAGTCTTGCTGAATACAACATCCTTGGAATAAAGGAGCCCAGTCTACCTGCTCAAATCACATATCATTGTAGACCTACAGGACAACTGCTGGTTCACAAATCTGAACGAGCTCTGAAAATACCATCCCATTTGGTAGCTGGAGAAATGGAGCACATCTTAGTCCCATGTGTTAGTCAGACTCCTAGTGAGAGCTACTGCTGGCACTTACAATAGCTCCGAAACGAGTTCCATGTGCTGGGAAGATAGGTGTGCTGGACTGAAGATCCCTGCTGCTGCTGGAGGGCTTGGGTTGGTGTCGATGTAGCTGTCTGCATCTGTGAGGGGCTGAGCTCCTGCTGAGATTGCTGGGAGGAGGGACTCAAAGGCTGAGGCCCAACCTAGGAAAGGTAAAAGCATTCTCAGTCTAGTAAGTTACAAACATATCTTTTTTAGTAAGGGAAAACACGGGGGCAGGCTCTATAGCATATCCTGTGTGAATCCTTGTAAGAAGGGAGTCTCATCTCCTTTGTAGCCACCCTTTAAATACTGCAACATGGTGATAAGGTGTCCCTGGAGCTGAACAAGCCCAGCTCTCTCAACCTTTCCTCACACAGCTTCCCAGTCCTTGGATCATCTTCGTGGCCCTTCTCTGCACCCTCTCCAGCCTGAATAGTCAGAACTAAAAACTGAACCACCACTCAACAGCATGGAAAGGTTCAAGTATTTGAGGAATGCCAGCTTCCATTTATACCTTGCAATTGGCTACATTTAGGTTGCAAATTTGTCTGTTCCCAGCCATTTATCTCTACTTTCTACACACTAAAAAACCTAAACCAAAGCAGAACACACACAGAACACCAAAACCAAATAAACCCCCATACAACAAAGGCCAAACAAAACACACGCACTCTAGGAACTACTTGATGATCTCAGAGTTGTTCACATGAGAGTTATTTGATCATTTCCTTTGAAGGACAGAGAAAGGACCATCTCCTGCATCAGCACATGTAATATACCTGCTAAGCAGACTGGGGAGAGAACGTATTTCCTGCAAGGAGGAGTGCAATACCTGTGCTGATGACTGAGGTGCTGCCGAAGGCTCTGTGACCTGGATGTGCTGCACCTGGATAGCATGTTGGGTGTAGGTCTGGGGGTCATGAAGCTGCCCAACGTCCACTGTGGAGTGCTGGGACTGGTGAGGTGAGGTAGCCTGGGAGGAAAAAGGAGAAAATAAACATAAGAATATCAAAGAAGCAGCCCTGGAAACCTCTTCTGTGACACAAGCTCTGCAACAATGAGCTATGAGCTTTAATAAGGCCATGGAGCACTCCTCTTCAAGCTGGTGTTCACCCTCTCTTTGCTCGTGGGAGATCAAGAAGTACATTTAACAGACGTAATGGCACTGAGATGGTCACATCTCAGTGACCCCAACAGAAAGGGCTTGCTAAGGGCATAGAAGCTGTCAAGCAAAGGGTCTGAAAACCAGGACCATTATTCTTTGTAAGCCTCCTTCTATAAAGTATATTTATAGTCTATAAAAGACAACATCCTCAAGATCTGCATATCTAGAACTGTTTTTTGATACCACTCTGTATCAAGACAAGTGCTCAGAGTCTTACTGATTAAAAGCTTTTTGGAGCAACACCTGCTGATGATACTAATTGGAGTTATTTAATGACAAGTCTAAGATCCTGATAAAATTAATGCTAGGAACCAGTATTCATGCTCTTGTATCATTACAACAGCCACAGTCAATATTAACTGGGGCCAGGCCATTATTTAGTCTTTATTAACCAAATTCATAACTTCATTTGTAATGAGGGGCAGAGAGAAGAGGGAATTGCAGATTCAAATACAAGCACATGGTAGTTTCTGCTTCACCCAGTGGATAACAGATTTGAAGGCTATGGCCATTCATTACAGCTCCCCAGGTTATTTTCCTCAGCTCAGTTGCTCTAGTTACACTTTGGTTTTATTTTCAGGAGGCTCTTGAGCAGCACAGAAGATGAATATTCTAATAGATGACACAAAGGGGAAAAGCAAGCAGCTCTCTGTACTTCCAGATTTTGGCTCTGGCTCACTGAGAACAAGGAAGTACAAATTAGTCTTCAACTGCAAAAATGGGTCACCCACTGACCCGCTTTCCCAGTTGCTGGAAAACCTTCCTAGAGCAGACTTGAGCAAAGCTGCCTGTAGGAGTTAGTCTCCAGCCAGCTGACCAAGACCAGCAGGATTATTTATGCCCAGTACATGATGCTTACAATGGGAACCCTGTTATCAATCAATTTAACTGTGAAGCGTGCACCACTCTTTGTAACTACTCCTTAACAAAATTCCGAGTGCTACAGCCCCAAGCAAGCAACAGGCTTGATATGGAGGGAGTCAAAAGCACATCAAGTCCCCCACCAGGCTACTCACCTGGGCCACTTGCACAACCTGCAGCTGTATGTGCTGGGGCTGCTGCAAGCCAGTTGTGGATTGAGACACTGGGATGTACTGGATCCGCTGGTAATCTCCCTGGGGAGTCCGGTAGTCCGTGGTGAGGGTCTGGGATATCTCTGTCATTGCCTGGGTCAGTAAGTCTGTTGTCTGGGCAGGTAGAGAGAGATACAGACCATCATCACATATGGTCAACTGGACTGAGTACTTCTACAGGGCTGTAGTTCTTTTCATCACACATTGGGCCTAGACATTGTACACATTAAGCTCTCGTAAATCAGAGGATGGGGTCATAAGGAGTCACTAGGGATTATCCACACTATATCTAAATACGCTGGTCAGGACCTTTGAGGACTAATTTATACAATAATAATTAAAAGATTAATCTTCTGGCTTAATACTATGCTATTAGACAACAAAAGTCCTGCATTTGTAAAGAGTTGACTTAGTTTTCAAGTCAAAAAGTGCTTCTTGGATATGCTCCACCTTCCCTTCTCACCTACCAGAGTGAGACTTTTCTTAACTGTATTCCCTAAGTGTGTAAAGACATTCAGCACCGTCAGGTTTATGAAGCCACCAGCATCCTGGTTGAATCTACCCATTTGAAAGCAGAACAAGTCTTTTACCCAGTTACAGTCTTCAAATAGGAAGCTGTAAGTTGTGATCAATAGGATTTTTAAAGCTATGCAGCATCCCAGCACTACTAATGAACACGAAGCTGATTTTCCTAGCCTCAGCTTTCACTTCCGTAGCAGCTGATGTATTAACAGGGAAGAGATCAGCTACAGGAGGTTTGTATCAACCAGTACAGAGCTGTCCAAAAGTGTCCCTGCCCATGGGAGGGGCATAAACTGGATGATCCTTAAGGTCCCTTCTAACCCAAGCCAGTCTGTGACTACAGAGATCTTGTCTCCTCTGCGCAGTTTGATCCAGTCATTACTAAACAGAAGCCACTCTCTTTCAAGTGGTGTCTGCCAAATAAACACTAAGACCAGAGGGCTTCTGGGCTGTTTGTTTCCCCCTATTAGCCTGATTTAATGTGTTCCAAGTGCTTACCACAACAGTCTCTCCAGTAGTGCTGTCGGTGGTTAGAACAGCAGGAGTGGAGCTGATGACAGCGGTCGCCAGCGGCGCATGGATCGCGTTCGGGAGCTGAGCAAACTCTGGGTGCTTCTTGCGAATGTGCTGGACCATCTTTGTCTGCAGAGAGATGCAAAGGAGCATTAGGAAAACGGTCAGTAACTCTGCTTCAGGCCAACTGACATCAAAAACCATCACAAAGGTCATAGAATCGGTGCCTCAAATACCACAGCCCATAAGCTTTATACAGCCAGATATTCTGGGGACCTTGTCCAGAGTCACCTTTTCTGCATTTTGTTCCCCTACTCCTCTCCCCTGTAACTGCCAGCGAGGAATTCCCAAGCTTTTCCATTTGTAACTGCACTCTGGTAACATTTCCATGGCTTCTTTTCAGTTCATCCCCTCTATTTAGGGAACTATTTTGCCATAAACCAACCAGGCTGTGCCTGCATTGGCAGCATGAAACCAGCACTCTGACTCAGAATGAAAGAGCTTTGCTCGTGGACTGACAGATACCCCAGTGGAAGAGCTGGTTTTTACACCCAGCTGTGTAACAACCCTCATACCTTGCTGCTGTACTGCTTGGAACAGTGAGGACAGCAGACTGGAGGGGTGGCAATGGTGCCTGTGAGCTGGGTGTGGGTGCTCAGCATCGGATCTGGCTCTCCTGGGCCTGCAGGACGCAGCTTCCGGATGCTTGGAGGTAGCTCAGCACCAGGATGGTTCTTCAGGATGTGTGCTTTGCGTTTACTGGCACTCTTGTACACCTGCAGAGTAAAGATTTGGAGTGAAAATGGTGCAACCTTGATGTCTGTGCAGAAGACAGCTACCAGTTACCTTTATCTGGAAGGTCTGCATCTCGCTTTAGATATACATTTAGTTCAAGCCCCAAACAATTAGAACATAATGCAGGAATACACATACACCTTCCAGTGTTTAATCAACCTGTAAAAGCAACTCTTCCTTGTGTAGCATGCAGGAGCCATCTGAGACTATGTCATATGCCACAACAAAGCATCAAAGCAGGACATCAGAGAGGAAAACCCCTTTTGCCTCATACCTGAAGGTCAAATGTCAGAGAAGGCACTGATCACCAAAGCTGTAATTTGTCCAGTGTTAGTTTGTCATGAGGGTTGATGCCTCCATTCTCACACCAAGCATCACACTGTTTGAATAGCCTTCAGTGATCAACCTACTCTTTTTAGGCACATCAACAAATGAATATTCTACAATATTTTTTAAAACTCTGTGTTCTGTTTCCCTTTAAACAAAAGGAAGGAGGCATCATGAAAAAATGATGACAGCCAAAATACACTCCCTAGTAAATAAAGGCCCACGTGCATAAAAAGCAAAGACCAGGGAATAAGAACAGGAAGCCAAAAGCAGTGCAGGAGCAGCTTCAGGCTCCAGTGAACACTGGGAATTACTGGCATGTGACTAAGCAGCTCAAAATAAAAAGGGGTTAGAGGCTCACTTTTAGAACTGATGCAGAAACCAAAACGAATGAGTATTCAATAATTAACAGACAGATATATTACTTAGTCCTGGGTTGCAAAAAACTTATGCAGGTCCAAGGCTGAGTGGCTGCTTGCTGGATCACGGTATTAAGTTCTCCAACTCCAAAGACAGGAGAAAGAACTGCGATTTTCAATTAGAATTCAGCTGCCTTGGCCTAAGTGCAGCTCATCTTAATTCATTTGTTTGGATAGTACTGCAGGAATGTTGCTGGCAAGCACCTCAAAAGCAAGCTGCAAACACTGCCAGATGTTTCTCTGCAGACTCAAATTGGCTGCATATAGGTCTAGGACTGAGTTATCCTCCTAGGAGTGTGTTCCTTACATACCTTATCACAGTACTGACAGAAGTAATCTCTGTTGGGTTTAATGATGGGCAATGTGAGCTCTGGCACCTCTTCTATTTTCATGTCTGGATGTCTTTTTGACAAATGATTCACCTTAGAAGGAAGAAGCACAGAGAAAAAGAGAGCATATTATAGCTGGAAGCTGAGGAATTGCTGCTTCTCCTCGGCATGGATAACAGCCAGACCAAAACTGCAGTGATGGTAGCCAGCAGCACAGCAGCATTTGCTGCTCCAAGGGTTATTGTGCATTCAGTCAGCTGCTGAAGGTCTTGCTAGATCTCATTTACAGTTTCTCTAATCAAATTAAGATGGGAAGGGGTAGACCAGAACTCTTGCAGTGGAGGTAATGAAAAGGTCTCTACCCAGGGAGGCCTTTGCCAGCAGAGATCACAACCCTCATGAAATACTTGCAAATAAGCTCTCCTGCTGCATAACACCCTTTACATAGAGGCAGTTAGAGGGCATGGCCAGGAGAGGCTCCTCGAGAAGGGGAAGAAGCAGAAAATAGAAAGTCAGGAAAACTGAGGCAGCACAGCTGAACCAAGTGATATATTCATCTCACACTGTGTTAAATACACATCAAACAGCATTACTTTGTGTTGAAATGGGATAGTGACAACCAAACGTACAACGAAGGCACACATTAAGACACACAGCCTTAAAACAAGCTGTATAATCTCAACTCAGCTATGCAGTTCACCCAGTTTCACAGCATCCTTACATTCCAACCATTGAAATTCCATCTTCATTCCTTAACTCTGCATCAAAACGGAGTAGAGAAGGTGGAAGGGAAGCTGGAGCACTCACCAACATGCCCCTGCGGCGGAAGCCCATCATGCAGAGCCTGCACTTGAACATGAAGCTCTCGTAGTCAGTGGAAGCAATCCGAGGCTTGAAGGTCTTGGAGCGGCTGATCCGATCCGCTTTCTTGGCCTCCCTCTCTGGGTTGTGCATCCTCTGCATGTGCTCTCGCAGTTTGTCCTTCCTCTGGGAAAGAGCAATCAGGGAGGAAAGCATCAGCACTGCTACTGCCTTACTACCTGTTACAATGCAAGTTGCTTCGAGATCTCTCTTGGGCTCTCTGCGGTGCCACGAGTCAGTTGCGTTCCCAGTGTTGTCCCAGCAGGAACTCATTTGGGTCTAGGTTTAGCCTTCAAGCCAAGCTGAGGTTGCAAAGCCACAAAAAAAAGGAGCCAAACTAATGATAATTTAACAGCCTTCATTCTGGCTTTTCCTTTAATTTATCTAAAATGTTAGTGCTTAACTCAGTATGGCTGGAAACTTGCATCAATAATGCTCTTGAAGTGGGGACCTCACATCCTACCATGGTGCTGAACCTACCGCTCAGCTGCAATCCAGCCTCTCTGGAGGCACACACACTGTCTAGAGAGTGCTGCTTCACCCCAAAGCATCCAGACCCTCAGTATCCCATAAGAAACTAAGTGCCAAGGATCAGGCTGCTGTCACCACAGTCTTCCTGGCTCACAGTTTGCTCCATGTGTTCTGGTGGGATCTGGAAAGGCATCTGGATTGTCCTGTGCTGACAAGACGGGTGCCACGGGCACAGGCACCTTCACCAGGATTATTACGAATGCACTGTCTGGTTTCAGCAAGAGGTTTCCTAATATCAGCAAGAGCTTTTCTTAACTAAACTAAGCAATACAACTCAAGCACCTGGCAGCTGAGCTGCATAACGACCCAGTTCTTCATGAGCAGATGGAGCTGTCCTTTGCTATTATATTGTTAGAAGGAAGATTTGATAGGCAAAACACTTATGCTGAGGTGGATCTTGCCCCTTGTCCATCAGAAATCAATGCTGTCACTCACATACGACACAAAGCAGCACATGCAACTAACAGGCATTCCTTTCATCCACCTTGGAGAACACGAACTCATCTGCTTGAGGAAGGGTAAAGAACGGATGTTCTTTCTCCACCTGCACCAGGGATAACCCAGTGAGGACTCCCTTTACCTTGAACTGCTTGCCACACGTGGAGCACAAGAAGTCTTTGCGGTCCGAGTGGCGCAGCATGTGGAGGCGCAGCTTGTCAGGGCGGCAGAAGGCTTTGTCACACTCAGTGCACTGGTAGATCTTCTCTGAGTGGAAGCTGCGGACGTGCTTCTTCACCTGCAGTGGCAGAGAATAGATAGAATTCATTCACAAGAGAGGAGTATGTGGTAAAACAGCCTAGGGAACGCTTAGTAGAAAGGCAGGTGGTTTTAAAAGCTCTCCAATCTCCTTTGGTTTGTAAAGTGCTTTATCAGAACAGTTGATACCTTGGCAATTGTTTCCATAAAGCCAAAACATCTTCATTGTGCATCTGGATGGACAATTGGATTTCCTCAAGACTGATTCTTGAAAGCACCAGCTATTGCACAGTTGGGCACTTAATAGGTGGCCAGAGATCACCATGTACCAGTTTTACTGCATCATCCTTGAGTTAACCTGTACATCTGAGGTTCTTTATCTTCATTCATAAGAAATCTAAACACAAGGACCAATTCCTTTCCATCAGAGAGAATGGCAATTCCTTTGGCATACTTTGGGAGTATCCCTGACCCATCTAGTGCTTTGGGTTTTCCCACCTCCAATTAAGTAACTAATGAGGTTTTGACATTTGAAATCCAAGCACTACTCAATGTATGGATCCCTAATTAAGTATTTGCTGTCTTCTACTACTGATCCTAAGAGGAACAACTTGGTATCTGTTCCACATAGAAGTATTCAAGTAGGCAGCAATCTATGGTGACTAGACTTAATGATTCACATAGCACCAGATGAAATAATAAGGTTTAAACTCCAAAATAGACCTGAATAGCTGGAAAAAAAGCCGTGGGATGTCCTTCTGGCTTGATCAGTTCCACAGGAAAGTTTATGGGGTTTAGGCTGCAGTAGAGCAGTTCTGAATCATCCCTTTTCCTTGCTCAACCATTACAGAGAATAAAGGAGTTTTTCCAGTTAATAAATGACTTCTCCCCATCCTTTCCTCTCTAACCTATTGGATAGTCTATCAGCTTCTATTGATTTAAGCTGGATTTCTATTTAAGTCAGGCAGCTCAGCAAAACTTATCAACTTTGTCCCTACAAAGGATAATGGATGTGTGCATGGTACCACTCAGTTTTTCCTTCCTGAACATCAAAATAGCATCCTGGAATTCTATTAACCATGTTCTCCAGTGGCTCTGCACACTGCACAAAGTCATTCCATCACTCCAGTGCAACCTCTCTCCCAAGCAGAGTTCAGGGAAGAAGAAGAATAATAAAGTCCCAAGCGGGAAGTCAGGGAGCAGAATATCCTCATCTGTTCCTGATGTTTCTGCATGGATTCAAGTGAATTATCCTGACAAAAACAGTCAAGGGATTAAAGGCTTGATACCACCATTTGTTTTGGTTCAGAGTCTGAATGACAAAGGACAAGGTATATTTAAGCATGCACAGAAAGAACATTCTTTTTTGTGCCACAGATCTGCACTGACCAAAAGTAGTCAGGACCTGTTTTAGGAATTTTTGGAGAATAAGGAACCACCCTTCCTGCAGTGCAGTGCCAGACTGAAGTCCTACATCTGATTATGTAGCAGAAAGAGCACTTCAGTGCATAAGACAGCATCTAGCAATGCTTGGTCACTCTTCCTTTTTTAACTTCCAACTGAGGTGAACCCCTTTATCTTGTGAGAACGAACTGACATGCAGCATGACCCCAGAACAGCACTGAAAAGCTCATAAACAGAGTGCTTACAAGAGACCTGGAAGGCAGTGCTTCCAATCTGGAAGGCATCTCACCTGGATAAAGTCTGGAAAGCGTTTCTTGCACGTAGGACAGGTGAAATAGCCATCGTTGACATGGATGGCCACATGGTCTTTGAGCAGATCCAGGCGGTCAAAGGACTTAGGACAGAAGATGCAGGAGTATGTTTTCTGGTCCATGTGGAACTTCATGTGGCTCTCAAGAGCCCCACTGTTGATGAAGCCCTTGTTGCAGATGTCACAAGTCAGAGGGCAGTTCCCTTCCCGCCCGTGGAAGCGGAGGTGCTGATCCAGTTTGTCCTTTTCCCTAAAGGCCTTCCCACACTGGAGGCATTTGAAGGGGCGAAAGGATTTCCGGATGAAGAGGTGCTGAAGAGCTGCATTCTGCAGGAAACAGAGTCTGTTATTATTATCTATAGGTTCCACATGTATGTCAAGATCAAATATACTTCGAAACCAAAATGCTTTGGTGTTATAGATACTGGCCCCATTTCACATAAGGGGAGGCTGTCACAGGCAGAACTTAAGGGATAAACCTGCACTTCCACACCATTAAGAGCACACAAAGCAGAAGTTTCCTCTCCAGTCCCCGTTTTCTGCCCATTTTTGTCTTTAGCGTGGCATTTTCCTGTACAATAAAACAAAGTCCCCTCTGAAGTACACGCCTGGCCCCTAAAAATCAGCGCCTGCACCCAAGATCACCACAGAGCTGTGCAGCAGTGGTTTAGTGTTGCCTGGAAAGCTTCTGGTGGAACACACATTCAGGAAATGCTGGCCTAAAGCTTTCTGTTATCCTTAAAAAGAATGGACTCTGAAAACCTTCCAGCAGGGGCAGAATGGCAGGTTTACCAGCAATGGCTAAGAACTTGTGAGCATCCTTGCCATTTAGCATCCATCATATGCTAGAGCTTGAAAATGAAGAAGAGAGATGAAAGACAAACAAAAGTGCTAAATCAAGAGGCACTCTGATAGATTCTGTTGTCTACTCAAAGGACAGTTGATTATACACAGTCCAACTTGAAACTGCTTTTCTTGGTACTGCAAGAAACAACAAAAATATGGTGAATTGAGCCTAATGTGCTTTGTGTGAATATTCATTTTAAAGTTTAATGTTCTGGGCTGCTCTTCTCTGTTTTTTTCCACTCCTACTGCTCACAATTTCTCTTCTTAGCCCCTGCTTTGTTTTGGTGTGTGCTTCCCTGCAGTCTGCCTTCTCTGTATCGTTTCATGATTGTCATCTCTTCCTTCCCTCCCCTTCAGATGAATGTTAGAGTCCCAACACCAGCACTGTCTGCTGGAGGAAGAGATGCTGCTGGACACCTTGCCTATAGAAACCAGCAAGTGTGTCCTGCACCTGCATTTCAGTATTGGATGAGGATTTGTATGTTGCAAAGCTGGAAGTCAGTCCTGCCTCTGCATGCACGAAACCCCACAGCACAGTTACCAACAGCATACTGAAAGCACACTGCAAGAAGTCTAAGGGATATCTGCTCTTCTCCACAATAAGATGCATAGCTCATCATTTACTGCTGTCTTCCCTTTTCAGCTGTTACACACAGAACCTACATGCTGATAGTTAAGAGAAATAGCACTAGAACATTCCTGGCACCTGTGCTTGAGCACATTCAATGTTACACGCTTCAAGAGATACGTGCCAGAAATCTGCAAACAGATTTCCCTGGTTTCCTCTCTCCTCCCCTTGTGACAATGTCTGGGCTGACATGTGCTGTGTCTCTTAAGTGTGTGCCAACAGCTGACACTGAGAAAGTCAAGTCAGGAGCAAGTCTGCTGGAAGGAGGGAACAGCTTGGGAATACTGTGAAACGCTGTGCTAGAGATTATATTAGTGAACCTGAATGATCCTTTGCACCATCTGAACTGCAGAGGGAAACCTATGCTTTCATTCCAGAAAGAGGAATGTGACAGCAACTGGTTTTGTTGCTGAATTATCATCTCCGTTCTCCATTTTCCCAGGGGAGAAGTGAGGACAATGGGGAATAAATGGATCTGCTGAAAGTCACACCATGAGTTAGGAAGACAGGCATGTGCTGGGTGAAAATTCATGTGTTGCCTGGAGTCAAAAATAGGTAGTTTTCCCCTTAACTACAGGGATATGCTAAGAAACCAAGTAGCTGAAGAGGTGCACTTTGAGTTCTTAACTCCACTATTACCATACTTTGCTATTTGATCACTGGATCACCAGGATCTGACTGATAAGGCTGCTATACTATGTAAATCAACATAGTCCCATTGCTGTCTCAGAGGCTACAGAAGGGTGAAATGTTTTACTGCTTTTTGGTTAAATAAGCTAGCAGCTATTAAAAAGAACAGAAAAAGAACTAAGTGTTGTCTCATCAGCTGATAACATTGATCCAGTGCAAACAGATCCTCCCAAACTAAGATGGATATTATAGTATTTCATCCAGCAGTTTACCCCTATAATATTTACCTTAAACTTGCAATGAATTAGTATGGAAAGAACGAGAAGAAGGCAAATTGTTATTCAGTTCACACTTAGTTCTGGACATTGGTTGCTTGAAGAAGAACAAATGTGACAATTTACAATGTGGAGGTCAATTAAGGAAACACTAAACAGAAGTTGGACAAAACAACACGGAGGGTGATGTTGCTATGTACCATTCCATTAGATACAGCAAAACCCCAAACCAAACCTACCTGCAGCTCCAGCTGAGCAGGCAGCATTGAGGGAGAGAAAAATAGTTATGTTATGCAATGGACTTGAAAAAAGGAAGCCTTCACTTCTGCAGGTCACCAGAAGGACCAACTCTTCTAGCTGGAGTTTACTCTTTACTCAGGCAAAACACCTTTGATGTTCTTGCCTTAGGAAACACTAAGCAGATCTTCCAGGTTTACCCTGTAGTAGTAACTGCCTGAGGGGAGCTAAAGGGCAAAGATAAAACCCACAGATCATCCTGAAGGTGCTTTGTGACCTTTCGTATTTTCTCAGAGTTGACTAACAGTGATGTGATGCAGACTGCAGAGCCACAGTGAGAATGAAATGCTTTCAGCAGAAGGGAATAATTAAGGCAGGATGACAACAGGGCAATGATTACAAGAGTGAAAAAGTTAAGGAGTAGGGTCTTAACCTCAGCTTACTGTTTGTACTCTTTGTTACACAGAAAGATGAGTAATAAGGAAGGACTAGAGCTACACAGGTCTCCAAGTCAAGACTTTCTACCTGTTCTTTGGAAGCAAATGATACATACATGTCTTAAACCCAAATGTTTGCTTGTTTGCAGTATTTAAGTGTGTGTTATGGGAAGGAGGTGCTGACAATAGCTGGACTGAATGAGTGCTCACAGGCTGCTAGAGCTTGCTGTGATTTTACACTTGCTAGTTTCCTCTTCTCTCAAGTTCTTATTGCTCACAGCCTGATGCAATATGGAAAGGAGCTACACAACCATCCATCTGCCATTCTGCCCCTGTCCTGAAACATCTCCAGGACTCTGCTGTAGAGGAAGTTAAGGAGATTTGGAGATAGAAACATGTCACCAAGGATTAAACCACCACTGCACTCCTCTGAGTTGTCATCCACTTGTGATGAATTCCCAGGGAACAAAAGCTAAGCCACAAGACAAAGAACTTCAGAAGTTCTGTCCCTTTTTCCCCCCACATTTACTGTTCCAGAAGATCTTAAGTTCACCTTTAAGGTTCAAAAGTGCGGGGAAAGAGGCAACACTTTCTAGTTCCTTCTACTGAGGAAGCTGTGGCATCTTGTAAGCAGTAAATACCCACACTCTTCACTGTCAAACACTCAGCATCTGTCTTCGTGCTCCACTATCCACCCTTCAATACATTCAGTAAAAATCCCCCAAGCTTGTAACATACCAAAGTCAAATGACTGGTAGAAACTCATTATTCAGAGAGTGCATCTGACATGGTTACAAATTCCGCAGTCTTAATGTACCTCAGCCAAATTCTTCCTTCAAGATACTCCACTGCATTTATGGGGTAACACCACCACTGCTCTCATATATACTGCCATAAACTGAGAGCAAAATTTGCCTCAACATCTTCCTATATGGAAAAGTTCCTCTTTTCTAATCCTTTCTCATCCCCTAAAATGGATTCTTAGCCCAATTGCAGCTGCTTCCTTCTGTAATCAAAATTTTACACATGGAAGAGAAAGAGAAAGATTTGAGGCTAAATAAGCCAATCTCACAGTTACATGGCTTGAAGGATTATTTGCTTGAATCATTTCCCTCCCACACACAGCAGAGGAAAAACAGCTCACCCAGTTGACACAGAGCTCAGGCTGAAAGCATTCGCTGTCAGTACAGAAAGCTCCTAGCACAGGTCTTAGCTTGAAGACAGGTTTGTTGACCCCAGGAAAGGCTTTTTTCACTAAATATCATCACCTAAGTGGATCTAAACTGAGGTCGTGGTTCCTCTTTGGCAACGGTTTGCAAGGGAAGAGTTGTGAGGGACACAGATGGTGCTGTGAGCAAGTCATTAGTCCGTGCCACAGTACCATGATTCAGCTGGCTGTTTGAAGCACTCCTGCTTGCCAGCTTGGATGGACTGTGTTTCTGTGAAAGAATTCCTGTGCTGGAATTGAATCGGCTCCAATTGGTGACCTGTTCTCAGCAGCATCTCATGATATACTAGTTCTTTACGTGAGATTTGCCTTCCTCTCACTGCAAAGAGGCTGAAAGGAACGAGATTTGGGATTTGGAAATGGATACAACAGTAGGAGAAAGACTGGATGGTCCTGGCAAGCAGGTCCAGTGTTCTCCACGTGGAGAAAGATGTCATCTGCTGTCCTCTTTGCTTACCCTGATACGCTTTGCTCGCCTCATGTCATCTGCTGTCATGGTGCTCTGCGTGGGCACCGGGCTCTCATCGTGCTGCGCCTGCATTTGTAGCGGGTGGTTTTCTGACTGCTGCTCCAGTGCAGACTGTGGCTCTGGTGGCACTGGAGTCTGCTCCTGCTGCTCCAGCCCGTTCAGTGTGGCTTGTCCGGCCTCATCAAACTGCCCCTTGCTGGAAAAATGCAGCAAGTCCTGAAATCGCAAATCATACAACCAGTGATTATTCCCCCCACCCACTGAAAGAGGCTTTGATAATACTCAGCAGGCAGCAAGCTCTCTACATGCTCATCACAGGCTAGAAACGAAACGTTCCTCCACTAACAGGTTCCTCCTGAGTTCCACTGATGCTCTCAGCACATCACCTCCACCTACAGCAACACCGGGGAAGGAGCGCTGCAGGTTGGTGACTCTCTTCACATGGAGACCAGGGAAAGCAGAGAATCTCTGTCTCACTGTTGTCACTTTGAAACATTATCATGTCTTGTTATGCAGTGTCTTCTCCTTTCTAACAAACAAGCTGGAGTGCTGGAGAGTGACAAATGAGCTGATTATACTGTGCACTGTGCCTTTTGCCATCCAGTTTCCCAGCTCTGCACACTCTCATCTACCCAGCTGCATACATCATTTATATTTATCACACAAAGCTGTTTGCCTCTTCTTTCACATCAGCATAAAAGAAAAGGGAGGGTGTTGGGAAGCACATGCCAAAAATCTCCATTCTTTTTGTGGAAGTTCCAATAACTCCTCTGGGATGGAATTCTCTGGTATTACAAGAAAAATAACCCAACATAGATCCTTACCTGACAGCACTTAATGCAAACTAAGGCAACTTAAAAGCCCAAGCTAGGAAAGGGAGCACCAGAAGTATATCATGTCAGCTTTGGTACTGCCAAAGCACAAAAGCAGATGTGGGAGAAGAAAACCAGGGATGTGCTAGAAGGAGCAGAGCTGCTATAAACCACAAATGCTTACCAGCTAAGAGACACCTAGAGCAATACACCAGCCAAATGTCCACTCCTGCTTTAGGGGGCAAGTTCCCACAGTTACTGACACTAAACTGTGCTCACAGAGGCTGTTCGGACACATTAGCATGGGACTGCACCCTGTGTCTCTGTCGTTAAGAGTCTGGGAACAGCATGATGCTTACTTGTCTAACTGGAAGTGGCTTGTGCCATGTCAGATTGTAGAGAGGGTGATCTAACAGCCCACGCTTAATGCAGCATTTAGGGCAACGCTGCACGCTCAGAAGATGAGTGGCAGGCATTCACAGGCAATGGAGATATTCCTCCCTCTGAGTCAGCACTGAACCATGACCCAGTGAGATGCCAGAGGAAAATTACCCTTCCAGATAGCAGCTTTCAGCTGAGTCATAAAACAGAGCCACTGAGCCCTCCTGACACCTTTCAGCAAAGCTCTTGGTGATAACCTAAGCATGGTCAGCAAGATTTAAGCATTTGACTTAAATGCATCGTATTAGGTCCCTACAGAACACAACCAAGAGCCACAAGCAAAGGAAAACCTCGCAGGAAGCACTCCTAGACGAGGTCCTTTAGTTAATATACAAACATCATGAAGAACCATAGCTCAAACTGATTTAATTCTACCAGCAACACTTCTAAAAGCAGGCTCCGACCTCACGTTCCAGAAAGGACTAATGCAAACCTAAATTCCCATTACACTTTTACTGCCTAAATTAGTTCTGTGATGCTGCTCAAGTGCTGCAGTAACCTACCTCAGTGCTACGTGCTTTGTGCTGAAAGTTGCTGTAGAAATGCAAGTGATTTTACAGTTCTTACAGAAGGGAAGCAGAGAATCACTGCTAGAAAAGCAAGAATGACTTGGGTATACAGTCTAAAGCACACGCCCAGTTTGCACTGATGCCCTGAGTTTACATCCTGTGTGATGATTTTTGCCTCCTTTCCATCCCCCAAAATGTACCTGTGTCCCTTCTTCACATTTCTCCCCATTTTCACTGGTCACTTCCATACGCATGAATTTGGGAGGGCGCCCGGGGCGTCTGCCTGGTCCAAACCTCCTCTTCCCTCGGCCACGACCTCGGCCTCTGGCTCTGCAGAACACACAGAACTTCACATTAGAGACAAAACAGGGTGGATCTGAAGTCTCCACTCATTGTACACATTCCCTCTCAGCATCATTCAACTCAGTAACCAAAACCTGAGTAAGTTCTGGCAGCAACAAAGCAGGGTACTGGCTGGTCTCTGTTTATTTTGTGCTCCATGAGCAACTGAAGCCCAGAACACATTACAATTGATTTCATTAATTGTATGACCAAAAGGATTACTGGCTCCTAGCAAGTCCTGTGCCGTGGCAACTCTCCTGCTTCCAGTGTGCTGGAAAGCATTTTCAGCTAGATGGAATACAAGGAAACCAATTGAAAACCTGAGGCTGTAACATCCCTCCCCCAAAAAGGCATGCAGCCATTGATGTCAGGCAGCAAGCTAAAGGGAGCTATTTTCTGTGTTAAACAAAACCCAAACCAGCCCAAAATGAAACCACTTGCTAAGTTTCAGGATAAGGAAGGCACCAGTATCTTCTGCTCTCTGATGGATGTTTGTAGATACAGCTTTTAATTGGTCAGGATAAACTATCTTGCCTGCCCCATGAGGAGGCAAAGCACTACAAGCCTTGTCCTCCAAGCTCTGTAGCTGCACACATCCAAGGAGCATATGTATTTCAATATTGTGGGACTGAAATACTGCAGCTTTTTAAGTCACTGCCCAAAAAAAACCCAAAAGCAAACCAAAATCATCTCATCAGTTTCAATGGGGCATTTATTTCCCTCAAGCTGCTTCTATTGCCAAGTCTCTTACAGCAATCAGCTTCCTGGTGCCATGTTCTTACCTTCCAGTGCTGAGCTGTTCTTCCAATGGGCACCCAGGTTGGGCAGCAAGATCTCTAGGGCAAAACCCCTGCTTTCTGCCAGTCTGGGGATACAGCAGAGTGACACAGAGGCAAAGCTCAAGCTTTCAGTACCTGCTGAAGAAGTCCAGCTTCTCATCGTGGGAGTTGAGGTGCTGCTGGAGTTGCTCCGAGCTCATGAAGCGCCGATTGCACTCATAACAGGGCCAGTTCTTCTCTTGCTCTCTGAGAACTATGTTCAAAGGGAAAGGTCAGGAACAGCATTTCAGTCACCACCAATTAAATGCTTCATTTGTTTCGCTGGGTTTTCTTTTCTCCCCAAGCCTTTCTGGCCATATTTCTCCCCTGAAGGTTAGACAAACTGCAGAGTATCCACAGCACTGCTCCATTTAGCTTTGTTTTTATCCCCTCTGCCCCGTGGCATGACCACAGCTCATCATAGAAAGATAAAAAGGTCACTGGGGACAATTCACATGGGCTATAAACACTGCTTAATATTCAGGAAGATTCTGAAATTTACCTTTGCATGGAAAAGCACCTACAGGATTAGATCTCTGGCGTAAGTATGGGGAGGTCAAGAGTATTCCTCAATCTAAAGCAGTAGCACATCAGTTTATGAGGGACTCAACATCAGGCACCAAGCACAGAAACATAGCTCTTTCCAACAGCAACCTAATGCTTCCCAGAATCCGAGGCAAAAGGTTACATTATTTTAATATTAGCATGAGAAGAGTTAGTAGAAATAAGCCCAAATAATACAATCTAGATCTGGTTTAACTTCTCTTAAGCCAGCAGAAACTTGGGAGCACTATACTGGCTGTATACCTGAAACACAGAAGTACAACACCCACCCCTGTCACACTACAAAACCCAAGAGAATAGCCCAAGTTACCCTTCCTTTCCTCCTCAGATATGTCATGGATCTTCTGGTTCACAAACTCTGCATAAGAAGCAGCATACCACACCTGCAGCAGGGAGAGATAACAGAATGCTCAGCTGGAACCAGAACTAGAGGGAATCCATTTGAAAACGGGGTTTAAGCAATACATTTACTTCACTTGCCTCAACCACTAACTCTTATTGCTCCTTTCATCCTCGATAATAAAGCCTGTTGAGATCAATATGCCCCCACTGAGGAATAAAAGAGCTTTGCTCAGAAGGCATATCCATATAACTTTAAGGTATAGCCTCCAAATACTAATGTTCATCTCACACATGGCTACCAGTAGCTCTGAAGGCAATAAGATTAATCTCTTTAGAGCCAAGTGTATAGGGGTGTCACCAAAGTGCTGTTCCTTGGTGGAACAAGAGTAATAAGAAAAGATTGTCCATTTCTTTCCTGCTTTCTCTCCATAGAAAACAGGCAGCGCCATCCACAGAGACTCATTTAAAATGTTCCTGAACTTCTGAAGGATTGGAGCAACATGGTCCTGCTTCCCAAAACAAAGATCTGCTGCCAGGCTGCAGCAGGAGGGACCCACCTTCACTATACAAGCAATTTAGGAAGCTTGCAGTAGGGAGAACCACAGAGACAAAGTTTATCAGAGCCTACAAACCAGATGTTCACTTTAAGCTGAGAATTCTTGCATCATTTGTCATTTTATCTTGTTATTTGATTAAAAAGGTTCCATGTCAGAAGAGGTTTCTGCAAGAAGGCATGAAACAGATTCTCAGCATGAAAAATCTGGGCAAGTTTCAACTTGTTGTAGGCCACATAGCAGCAGTGAGTGGCATTTCTAACTCCCCTTAAGGTGCATGTTACTTTGCAGGAAGCTGGATAAGAAGAAAGCCTTGGAGCTCCTAGACCTGTCATGCAATATACAAGTTCTCAACTTTAACTGGTCCTCCTCATCTTTGGACATCAATTATAGCCCGAGGAAGACACATTACAGAGCCTGGATCGTTCGCTTTCAACTCTCAAACCAATTTTACCCCAAAAGACACTACTAACACATAAAGGAAGAAAGATGCTGCTGCTACAGGCAGGTCTCTGCACATTTCATTGAAGTCTGATTTCCAATTGATTTTAAAACTTGAGAAAATGATGTTTGGATGCACTTCAAAGGGATTAGCAAGGTTTCTAGTGATTCAGCTTGAACAAATTAAGGACTGATACCAGAGAAACCAAAAGGAACGCTACTCTTAAAAAGAAGTGTCTAAGGAGACTTTTGCCCTGGTTAAAACCCAGTTTTCTGTTAAATCGTTGACAATAATGTGCCAGAAAAGATTTGAGGAAGAAAAAGCCATTATCCTGATATCAAAGGCACCAGAAAACAAGTCAAGGGCACCCAGGACTAACTGGAAAGGGCATCCAGAACTCAAAAGAATAAGACTGCTGCAATAAAATTAGATTGCATCTGCAAAACAGGTGCAGGGTAAAGCGTGAGAGTGACAAACCAACTATTTACATCCTGATCTCAGACTTCCTCATTTTATACCTGAGCCAAAGCTCATGGCAAACCCACAAGTCAGTGGCTAACTACTCACTGACTGCAGTGGTGTTCGATTCGTGTGCTTGATGAGAGGGAAGAAAACCCCTAAAACTATGGGCAGAGCCATTTCTGGCCCTTGGAGATGCACTTATCAAAGAGCAACCTTTAAGATTTGATTTTACCTGTATAAAAATGAGTCCCAAACCATGAGGAAAGCCATACCTTGAGTTCCTGCTTGGGCTCCACGTTTTTGATGGTGGTGTAGTAAATGTGGTGGCCATACTGATACGCAACCAGGTTCTGCTCCAAATGGTTTTGAGCTGGACGCACAAACATCATCCAGTTACAAAGTGCCTCGCTAGAAAGTTCAAACCACAGGTCCTCTTGCAAATCTCTGTCTTTTCTGTCCCCCTTCTCAAGAGAAACCTGTAGCAAAAGCCAATTACATGTGGCTGTAACTGCCTGGCAGCAGGTTCAGAGGAATTTGAGTGTCTAGAAAGCACTGCTCTGCCCATAGAGCTATTACATCAGGAAAGCAATGAAGGCATAATTGATTTTCTCTCTCTGCTAACAGGGATCCAGAAACAGGCAACATTTAGAAAAACACTTGGGAGACAGGCAGAGATTTAGCTAGGGAGACACACAATGGACCCTTCCACAGCTTTCAAGGGCAAGAATCATTCATTAAAAGCATCAGGCACAGTACTTGACATGTGGCTGTAAATAAGGCATGAGAAGCTCTAGCTTTAGCAGGTTACATGGCATCAGTTGCCCAATGCTTCTAACTGACAGATCCACTTCCTTGCTTTCCTGACTCAAGCTGGAAGCAGTGCTGCTTTAGCTGAATTTTGGCTGGGTTACTGGATCTGCCTGGGGTCACAACTTGCTTGGCAGACACTGATCATCAGAGAGCAATGCTCCTAAAACTGCAGACTTCCTCTCCAGCAAATAAAGAACCAATTCTTATAACCAAACCAGTAAATAAATGGATAAAAGTCAGCCAAATCCATTACACCTCACACCAACAACTTGGCATGAAGAAGGGGTGAAAAAGCTCTCCCCTCCCCTACATTTTTTGGGGAGAAGAGGGAAAGGGGAATAAAAAGTACTTTCAACTTAAGTTACAGCATGACACAAAAGAATGGCTGCAAAACATCCTCAGATGGGGCTATTTTTATGCCCAGGTGCTGCTTCAGCCCATTTGAGAGCGATTCACAGCATTCCATGTTATGTCTCCTATACATCATAACACCACACTGCCAGAATATTCACCCTGATTATCGTGTCACCCTGCAGAACAGTAGTTTTCAAGCCTGTCTGGGTATTTCCAAGCCACATTCAGAGATGGAAGTATCAGAAGAACATCTCTAGTGAAGTAACTCATCAAGGCAGACTGGCAAATTCATGATAATCAAAGCTTAAGCACAAAGTGATCCCTCTTCTCCTCTCGTGCACACATGGTCTTACCTTCAAATGGATATAGCAGTCTTTGAGTTCTGTTTGTCTAACCAGGGGTCCTTCCACAGGTCCAAACTGTGTGCGTTTGGGGATCCTCCTTTTGGAGAACACACCTCCCAAAAACCTGTCTATGTAGAGCACCAAAGGAAGGCTGGCTCTTGCCCTGGTCAGCACTGGCCTGTTTGGGATTGGATGCAATGGTCCATGTTTCGGACACACGGAAGGATGCGCGTTATTACACTCCTCACACCCTACAACACAAAGTCAGAGAAGACACAACTGTCAGGCAGGCACTCACTCAGCTCAGAAGGCACAGCCTCATCTTGTTTTAAACATCTTCAGCTCAGCCATGGGATCATGTATTCCAATAGTCTATCTGTATTTTAAAGCATTAGAGAGGGCAGCTGCCTCCAAAAGGAAGAATAAAGCAGCTCAGAGGCTCCACCTGAGGCAGAACCTTGTTTTTCCAGTAAAGCAGCACAATAGGAGTCTACATTTCTGGGTACCAAGGAATTTACTTATTACTGCTAAAATCTGAATGGTTTTTACTAGACAGAGGGGAAAAGACATAAGAGGAGGGCAACTAAAACACTACATACTACTTCCTATGCTTACACAAATCGTTGGGATCAAAGGGTCGAGGTGGATCTGGATCCCATTCATCCATGTCAGTGTCTTCCCCCTCTTCATCCTCATCTTCGTCCTCGTCATCTTCCTCTTTTGTTTCCATCCTTCCCATTTGATTCTGCAGAGGTGCTAAAGGGTCAGATCCATCCACTGCCTCCATAGGAGGTAACACCTGGTTATGCACCGGTAATGATGCCTAGAGGAGGGAATTCATGAACTATCACAACTGACTCGGGAAGAAAACCCCTCTTACAAAGACAAGCAATGAAGGTTCTTGCTAGTTTAACCCTTTCTGCTTCCTTTGGTAACGGAAAGAAGGACAAGGGAAAGTGAAGTGACATGATAAATGATTGCTGAGGGATGTTTTGCATCACTGCTACCCACAGCATCACTCAGGACAGCTCTGGGTCACTCACTACCTGGTTCTACCCTGTCAAGAACTGACTACTCAGGAGAAGAAACTGAGATCAAAGAAGTTCTGGACCCTCACAGATGGTTTGAAACCAAGTCCAGGCTCTGTGGCAATTATGTAGAGCCTAAAGCTGTATTTTAACTTCTTTTGTACTAGTGGGAATCCTGCACTTTAACACATGATCTTTTCTATCACACAATCAAACAAAATCAAATCCCCAGAGCACACCTGTAGAGATCATAAGGGATGAGATAACACAGAGCCTAGATATAAACCTGGGGACAGGGTGGACAGTTGAGGGCACTGTATTCTTTCACTAATTTTAAAGTTTATCCCTTTCTTTCCCTCCAAAAAAAAGACAAAACTAATTGAAGTGCACTGCACAGAATGTTCTATCACCCACACAGGTTCCTCAGGTACAGAACAAGAAATACTACACACCGTAAAGCTGCCTCAAAAGACTGGCAAAGAGACCCGATGGATGTTGGACCTATGTGACAGCCAGCATTACACCTTCTGTTAACTTGGCTTTCAAAGCTGAGAAGAGTATTTTAAGGAGGCTGCCCAAGGCAGAACAATCTGTAGAACAGGTTCCTATGTATGTTAAATACATAGAACCTCAGACTGGTTTGGGCTGAAGGGACCTTAAGATCATCCAGCTCCAACCCCCTGCCACAGGCAGGGACACCTTCCCCTAGAGCAGGTTGGTCCAAACTTAGACCAGGTTGCTCAAAGCCCTGTCCAACCCTCCCTTGGAACACTGCCAGGGATGGGGCAGCCACAGCTTCTCTGGGCACCCTGTGCCAGCGCCTCAGCACCCTCACAGGGAACAGCTTCTGCCTTAGATCCTTTTATCCCTTGTTTCAGTTTGAACCCATCCCCCCTTGTCCTATCACTCCAGTCCCTGATGCAGAGTCCCTCTGCAGCATCCTTGTACCCCCCTTCAGACACTGGAAGGCTGCTCTCCTACAGAAACCCCACACGCATTCCACGGTGAGACTATGAAAGACAGCACCAAGCTGTGCTCCAGCTTTCTCCCATCTCCTCCCAGATCACAGACATGTTCCATCACCTGAGACAATGGAGCAATGACATTGGTGTACATTGAGAAGAAAAGGGTGCCTGGCAACTTACTCTATCTGCTTGAGGACCCTGCTCCAGAGCCATTTGCTGGGGGGATTCAGCAACGCTGCCGAGCACGGACAGGTTGGTGGGATTCATGCTCTGAGCAGCAGCAGGCAAGAGCACAGTTACCTAAAATCATAGGCACTCAGTTTAGCACTGCAGCATTTCCATCATGCCCTGCATGCAAAGCTCCCTGGAGTCCTACACTAGGTCAAAAGCTGCAGCGTTGTCATGGTTTTCTTTAGGGAGTAGAAATGATGGACTTGGACAAACCCTGCAGATCTGGGGGCAAAGGGAAAAGCTTCAAAACTCACTCTATATTCTGCAACTTTTGAATTGCCCATCTCCCACTTTTGGCTTTAGATTAAGGTCCTACTCAGCCTGCGTTCAAACTGCACTAAGGAAAGATGTGAGGAGCTCTTCAGCTCTTGGTAAAACCAGGGACTTAAAAGTCTTTTTCTCTTCTATGTCTAAATTTACCTTCTTTTTTTATGGGCAAAGGTAAAGAAGGAAAAAGCAGCATCTCCTCTTTGAACCTTTCTTTTTCTCCAGCAAACAAGATCCATTCTAAAACCAAGATGGTCTATTGACCCCATTAGAAGATCAAGCACTCAAGAGTATTCCAACAATTATTTTTTCCTTGCGTTATCTGGTCACACTCTACATTTTTGGTTGTTTCCATCCTCAACTTCGTTCCTACTCAAAAATAATGCATGTTCCCACACCATTCCCATTCGTTCTGTTATAAAACAAAGCAGAATCAAGATCCTAGCAATCACCTCTGCTCTCTTTTGTTTCCTGCTTATTCACACAGGAATTGCACCATTATCTTGCATGATTTCTCATCCTTCTCTACAGCTCACATCATGTGGCTTCTGGCTTGTGCCTCTGACTATTAAGCAGCTTTTATGCTAAAATTAAAGCCTCTGCACAGAGTGTTTAACAAATAGAGATAAAAGCGAGAACACAAGTTGTGCCAACAGTGAAGGAGCAGACAAGAACATGTACAACGCAAGCAGACAGCCTTAAAACTTCAAATCTTTTTGTTTTGTTTAGAGTAATTCATGGAACAGTGTAAAAACTACAGGAAAAAGACTTCAGGTCCAGCGAGGAGGAAAGCTGAACCAAGCTGCCTGGTATTGCCACCTCTGAGGCCAAGTGGCAACAGGAAAAGCATCAGTATTCAAAGGCACCTCCAGCAATGAGAGGTTGACATGAGCTTGTGTCTATTTGTACCTCCTCTTAGGATTTCCTACTACTAATCACACTTCAAACATATCCTGACTTCCCTTTCCATCAGTGTAGTGAATTTAGATTTAAAACCTCCCAGTTTCTTTTCAAGATGAAGTTTCTTTTTAAAGGTAAGTGGAGCTTTAATTCCTGCTTTAACCTGTTGTCAGTGCAAGGATGTCCCACATGAAATGCTGACGTTAAAACACCTGCAAAGGCAGGAGCTGCCACCATGAGGGACCGACCACTTGCAAGCAATGAATAGCTCTGCTGGGGCTGTCATCAGACAGCATCAAAAGGGAGGAAGGGCTCAGGACACCCAGACAAGTGCTCTGTGCCCTTGATACTCCACACAGGATACTAACAGCACAGCTCCTCTGCTGTCAGTGTCTCTCACACTGCACACAGAAGTAATCTCTCCTTTTAATTAGATCCTCTATTTGTTCAATAAGCTTTAAAGACAATTAAATAGGATTTTCTGGCTTCTTCATGCAAGGAAGGTGATGTGGCAAAATACTGCAGAATGACATTCTGCATTCCTCCAGAGAACTGGAAGAAAACGGGTAACACCTTTACTGGGTCACTCGTTTCCTCAATGATTTAAAAGGTCTTTTTCTAGCAAGAAAAAAGTGGCTTTCAGTGCACATTCAACCGTTCACTCTGCCCCAAGACTGTCAGTAAAGACGTACTTAAACTATAGCATTAGTCATGATTCAGCTCTAACACATCCATTCACACATGCCATTAAAGTAAGGGGTTTAAGTCTCTATGACAAGCAGAGAATCAGAACTAGAGGTCTAGATCTGAAAGCACCTCTACCTGACTACCACAACACAGTCCCTAAAGATACTAGTACAAGTTAACAATAAAACCTTCCCATTGTGATGGATGAGAAAAGAAACACAGGTTCCAGTTTCATTCTGCCCCTAGACCCCTTTACACCAGCACATGCCTCAAACCTGGGATGCTCTGGGAAGAAAAGGGAGCCAGTAATAAACTTCTGCAGGCTTTGCACTTAATTTCCTGGGAAGTTTCTAGTAAATGTAGGATTGGATCCAAAGTTGCTATCCCTTGAGAGCCTCTTCTGGATTTAAAAGGCATTTGGATCTGAATCTGGATGAGGCCAGCTGCAAAGCCAGTCTTTCCAGAAGGACACACTAAAATAAATCAGCCACATCAGCTTGCTGACTTAAAGGGACACTGGTGAAAGATTCTGCAGTCTGTCTGGGGCAGTAAATGAGTATTTTCGTTAATCATGAATTAAGAAGAGTGAACTCAAACTCTCTTTTGTCATTCATGCACAGCAGCTTGTTATCATAAGCTTTTTGCCCTTCATGGTGAGATGACAGCACACAACTGAAGACTGCCATTCGACACGGTCAGAGCTAGCTTATATTAAGCTCTAGCAGCACAGCAACTTCTCTTCCCCTTCAGCAATAGTCTCCCTAACAGCTCAGGCCCAAAGAAATTCATGTCTCTTCCTTACCTGCTGGGTGGTGGCATCCTGTTGGACGTAAGCCACTTGGGAGGGATCTGTAAACAGAGTCTAGACAAAGTGAAAAAGGCTTATCAAAGCGGCCTGGGGGCTGCTCACTCCCAACTCACACCACAACTACCCTGCCACCCAGAAATCATCCACATTTCACCCTCTGCTAATGTGTCTGTCAGCACAGCAGATTAGTTCAACTTACCCAAGTGCACAGAATTTCAACTAAACTTAGGTAGTGCTCCATAAAAACATGATACCATAGTGATGTGGCACTTTTCACCTATATACTAGAGTGCCTCATGGGAGTTTTTCTTCTCTTTTTAATACAGAAATCGCTTTGTCAGTTGTTGATTGGATAAAATCTACAGGATGAAATTCAATAGCTGTATGAAAACTGCATAATACTTGAGGGCAGGACAGAAGATAACCCTTAGCTTTATCTCCTGCAAATTCACAAGACTTCTGCGTGCCTTCTTTTGAGGAATTATCAGGCATATCCTACATGTGAATTTCATCAAGCCAGGATGTTGGCTCTTTAATTTCACAGAAGACTCCAATCTTCTCACAGCAGCCCTGATGGGAGGGCTTCCCCCTGGGAAAAGCAAGACTTACATGAAAACTAAGTATTGATAGAGGTCAGCCTCGCTTACTTCGCTAAAACATGAAGTACCTGAGCTTGTGGCAGTCTGGCTCCAAACAAGTAAAGCATGGCATAACACCAATCCCATTAGGGCTTTGAGAATTTCATCTCAGTTGCCTGATAGTGTCTTAACACTACACCTCTTTGTTTTAATGGAACAGCTCAGAACTGTGCAAGAGTGAGACCACAGCACACAAGGCTATGCCAGTCTTGCTGTGGGTGTCAAGTACATGCACTCTGTAGCATTGCTAATAATAATGTCAGCAAAGTCATTATAAAACACTGTTGACAAAGCATGCCTGTTCCTCTTGTGTTATCTATGCATGCAGAGGTCCATACTATATTAACCCCCTATAAACATGTGCTGACAGAGAATAAAAGCTACTTGATACAATTATGAAGAGGAAAAAGAACCTAAGTATATAAAAATCAACAACATCCCTGAAGCTAATTCCACAGTGAATACACTGAGATCCTCTGAAAAAAGACATGACTGTCATTGTAACTGTCAATTATGAGACCTGTACTATGCAAAACAAGGACTCTTCCAGAAGACACACAGATTGCTCTTATCTTTGTACTCAATACAACAGAGGCAGAGTTTCTGGAGAGATTATGTCTTTTGGAAAACACCTTTCAGCTAATTATAATCTCATCCACCTTCAGTGAAATAATCAGCATTTCATAATTCATGGCTGCCACATCCTTTGATTCCCACATTTGCACATCAGACAAATGAACAACACAAAGTCCCTGTTCAACAACGGGCAGATAAAAGCGTAAAGAGGAACTGCCTGCTATTTCCCAGTCCTACCACTTGGCTGGTAACCAGCTTCCATCTCAAACCAGTTTGGTTTACTGTTTCCTAGGTGCTAAAACAGGGTGTGCTCAGAACCACACATGCCTGTGTAGCTTCCACGGGGTGGATGTAAACCAGGGTGTGCTCCGAGGTGTCCACAGAGGTGTAGGAGGTGCCATCCGCTGTGTAGACAACCTGCTGCGAGGGACGGTCCTGCTCATCGCTGTACACGATCTGCGCCACTGCCCCTCCCTCAGGGACAAAGTGCACCTGCAACAAAGAACAGATCCTGTCTTGAAACTGGAATGTAGGCCTATGGGAAGCAACACAAGGACACAGAATGAATACATGTATATATATATACATATATGTATATATACACACACTGGGCTGCATCAAAAAGAATGTGAGCAGAAGATTGAAGGAGGAGATCCTGCCCCTCTGCTCTCTGAGACCCCACTTGCAGCACTGAAAGCACTTCTGGTGTCCTCAGCATCAGAAGGACATGGAGCTTTTGGAGCAAGTCCAGAGGAAGCCACAAGGATGATCAGGGGCTGGAGCAGCTCCCAAATGGAGACAGGCTGAGAACATTGGGGCTGTTCAGACTGGAGAAGAGAAGCTGTGTGGAGACCTCAGAGCAGCTTCCAGTGTCTGAAGGGGGCTACAAGGATGCTGCAGAGGGACTCTTCATCAGGGACTGGAGTGATAGAATAAGGGGGGATGGGTTCAAACTGAAACAAGGGATAAAAGGATCTAAGGCAGAAGCTGTTCCCTGTGAGGGTGCTGAGGCGCTGGCACAGGGTGCCCAGAGAAGCTGTGGCTGGCCCATCCCTGGCCGGG